CTAGTGTATAAATCTTATGGGTACTTAATTTAATACTTGTTTATGATTGTGTGTTGATTATTTAGCTTAGTTTATGCTTCAATTTTAGAATTAATGGTTGCAAACATATACTCATGCCATTTCAACTTGGTCTCTACTTGAGAAAGATGGACCTAATCTAGGATAACTTGGCTAACAAGGAATTGGGCTAATTGAGGGTTTGATTAGCTTAATTAAAGGGTTCAAATTAGAGATAGTGAGAACCCGACTTGAGCTCATATCAACTATTTTGTTTGATACCCATTTGGACTTGAGAAAGTCAAATTGGGCAAAATCACTCTTTTACCGAGATGTATTGAGTGAATAACGTAGAGTTGAGAGCTATAATACACCACAATCAATAAAACAAGTATTAACGTATTTAACCCATTAGGAGAACACCTAGGTTATAGTCACATCCCTAGGCTTTTTAATTTATTTGGAAAAATATTAAAAAAACACTCATTCGCTTCTAGTTTCTTTTCTTAGCTTATAATTGCTAGGGTAATCGTAGAACTAGAAATCAAAACTTGTTGTTTGGAAGCATAATTTAGTTATTCCATTCACTTTCGTCAAGTGTATACTCCTAACACCCATTGTAACTCCATGTAGAAATAGACCCCGACTCTTGTTGGGTACTATTCTTTCAACGGCCGTTTTCACTCACTATTGAGTGCGGATTGGACGTGGATCAACGGGCTATAATTTTCACTAAGGGGCGTCCTAATATAAAAAATTAAACAACTGCAAAGCCAAAGAAATTCAACGTATAATAAATATAAATTAAAAAAAAATTACCTAGCAATACAATGCAATTTTCCGGTGTAGGGGTGTCAATTGAATGAGTATTGATTGTTAATATCCTTTATTTAATTTTCACTATATAATTTTTAGTACAACGTAAATAATTATGTCATTTGATTTACGTGTTTTACAAGTTTATCCTAGACATAAGACACTAGCTTTATACTCAGAATTGTATTGAATTATTAACAACTTCAACGGCAACAAAATAGCAATAATGTCATGTTTTCATTCAATTTAGTTATTTTTCACTTTGTTATGTATATATTAGTATAAGTAGCCGTGCGATGCGCGTACATAAATCATGTCAAATTATAATTTGGGTTATTTGGATTATGTGTAGATAACCTCAAAATTAAACCTTCTATATAGAAAATGTAAATAATTATTAGAGATTAATTAAAAAGCAGGACATAAAATTATTTTTGAAATCTCATAGTGGATAACCTATTTTCTTTTTCTATACCGTAATAACTCATCCCCTTGATTTTGGCACTTGTATTTGTTTTACGTCAATATTAAAGAACACTAAACAAATAACGTTGTGATTTGACTTGTTTGAGCACATTACATCATATTATTTTAGCAAAATTCTTACTACCACTTTATTTTTCTTCTCAAATTCAAATAAGTCTTATCCTTCAATATTTTTAGATATAATTTTTTTCTCTTTTGTTCTTTGCTTATAGTTATTGCATTATTTATAACTTAATATTGTTATACTGTCATGCGATCTTTTATTAGCTTATAAATTCACTTAATGTCTTGCTTATTACCTTATTAATAATCATCAATAAATATAAAAAAATTTATTCTTAAACTTTAGTGTATTTTTACACTATTATCCTCTTACTCGGAACTCTTCCATCATTTAAATCTATCAATACATTTTTTAGTATTCTTTAATAATTTTTTTTAAAATAATGTAAAATATAAGTATCATCGCACTATCTCTATTTTCCTCTCTATATATTCTCTTTCCTATTAAAAAATATTAATTAGTTTTTTCACAAATATTTTGACTTATACTCAAAATAACATCATGTTTTATTTTAAAATATAACTTTGAATTAGTCTAAAAATTAGTACATAAGTTATTTTATAATGGTTTAAATCTATTGAATTTTTTTATAATTATTTTTTGTATTGCATGCAATTAATTGTTTTTAGTTTCAAAATACAAAATTTAGCTTTTAATTTTCATTAGTAAAATTACCTACATGAGATTATTATTTAGTATATTTAAATTTTTAATTTGGTATCAAGTTGTTATTTTTCTTTATCTAGCAAGACTTTAATTTTGTGGTCATATTCATATTTTGAGCATTCTCATCATAATTTTAAAAAAATTCTAATATCAAATTCAAATAGTCTTTTATGTTATTTTTAATATAGATTTTGTTTTGAATTTTAATTGTTTTTCTTACTTTTCATATAAAATTATCTAACATGTAATATTATCACATTTTCATGTGATTTTTTAATTAACTTTACACTTTATTAATTATTCTTATTCACTACTACTTTTTAATATAATATAGATAGATATGTATTTTTATAATAAATTAAATATATATTTTATTTTTAAACTATGCTTGAAAATTTTAAATTGTTTAAATTTTTCAATAATATTTTTAAGTATTGTATACTTACTTTACTTTATTTTCTAAGGTAATTCTTAGTATAAATATCCTCACATGACTTCTAATTTATTTTTATTATTCAATATTTTTAATTTTTTTATTTATGTATTAGATTTTAGTTATGTGGCCTTATCCACATGCATGCCATTTCTTACCCTACTTATGCAAAACTTTCTCATCTCAAATTTAAATAAGTTTTATCCTTTTTCTTTTGCATGATGAAATTTTTAATTTTTTTCTCTATTTGTTTCTTAGTTTTACTATTATATTATTCAATACTTAAAATTATTATAGTGTCATGTGATTTTCATTAGCTTGTCTAAATTTAATATACATTTTTACCATACTCATTCTAATACAGTAGAAATAAATATAAGAATTATTTCAATAGTAACTTTGACTATTGCTCATATTACAAAGTGTGATTTTTTAATCATATTTTTTTATAAAAAAAAATCTTATCTCAAATTTTTACAACAATGGTTCCATTATATTTTTTTTCTACATAATATTTCAAAAACAAACACATGAAATAGAAGAAAAGGGATCATGTGGTTAGTAAATAATTAGATTGTGATATATTTAGATTATGCATAAGATCTATTTCATTCAACTACTTCCATTAATTAGTTTTTATTTATAATTTTTAATTATTAATGTTGTCCTAACATTGCCAAGTGGCTTCATTTTAGCTTGACACTTGTCTTTAACCACAATACATACTAGCCTCCTTTTAATATAAAGATATATATATATA